GGCTTACAATAAATGTCTGATTTGAGGTTCTGCGGCCTGACCTGAAGCCACTGTGCTATTCTTGTATTTCAGTGGCAGTTATTCCACGGCTCCTCCCTCCTAATACCTTTGTGTAGACTTTTCCCGAAAGGCCCAATGAAGCCATGCCTGAATAATTGGAACAGCTCTATGGTATCCCTTTTGGAATACTGTTACTGCGACTCCAGTTCTCCAGTCCACTACTGTCAGCTTGACAGATACGTGTTTGTCGTAACATGCCTTGTTCGGCTGAAGCTTCAGTCATTTCAGAGCGGATTTCGTCGATTCCAGCAGCCCTACTTTTCGTGCTTTTTACAGCTTCTATCGCTCCTTCTACTGAAAGATTAATATCCATTGCCTGCAGCATTCAGACGAGTCTTCCTGGTGTTGTTTCACCTTTAGGGATTCCTCAGAGTACTCTCTCCATGGTAAAAGTATTACCTCATCTTTTTTAGAAAGATGTCCAGACTGCTCCTTCAGGACTCTTGAACTGCCCTTCTTTCCATCTCGAAAGCGGAGGATGCTCTGCCAGAATACCTTATTAGCCGTCTGGAATTCGATTCCAGCCACTCACCGACCGTTTTGCAGTAATCAGTTTTCGCTTTTGTCACTGTTTCGGCTTGTTCGTGCTGTATTGATATTGAAGACTCTTCTCTTCCAAGCGTACTTGACTGCAGGCCCCTTCTCGCTGGAAACCAGCTGAACATTTCTTATTCACCAGTACGTTCGTTTCTGACCTCTAGGTAGATTTGTTCTAAACCGCAGCATTCGCAGGCAGTCCTGAGTAAGCCACTCTTAGAGAGCTTTTACTACGTTTCCACATCAGCGGTCATGACTAGGTTCTGTTAAAACCATCCTGCGATGTTCGTTGCAAATGTTGGCCTCATATCCGCAGATGATAACGTTTTCTATTTGATTCTGTAGTTGCTTCCATCGCCAGCTTTTCACATGATAATCTGCCGTTTTGTAGCTAAGTCTGCTAACAACAAGGAAATTATTGGTTCAAACTTCTGCACTTTTAACGTAACGTACATTTCCGAGTGTGGTGGGCCAGACAATACGACTATCAAATCGATCATCCACTTTTGTGCCCACTTGTTCTTCTTCCAGGTATACTGATTCACACTTTGATGTTCATAATAGACAGTTCATTGCTTGCACAAAATCGCAGCAACTTCATGCTGTTGAGGTTGTTAGGATCCTTTTCTCCAATCACTTATTTCCACTCCAGTGTTTTCTCCAACATATTTATTGAAATCACCCATTAGAATGATGGATTCCATTATCGGCATTTCGTAGCAAGCACCTTTTACTTTCCCCGGAATAACACACTTTCCCTCCAAACTGGGCACATTGACCTGTTGAAAGTCAAAGCATTGAAATCTTCTGTTGAATGATCTCCACTCTTCCCTTGACAGACTTCTGTTCAATGATTTCCACAGCCAAGTTGGATTCTATCAAAACATTAATAACGGCTTGAGCCTCTCATGAAATCGATACCTGAGTAAAACAACTTCCACCCGCAGAGTTTAGGATTTGTGCTCCCTGGCGCTTTGCTGACACGAGTCAAAGCGTGTTCAATCAATACATTACGGCCCCATTAGCTAACTCCTGCTCTTTCACTCGGAGTGAGAAGAGGCTCCAATTTCTGATTGTGAGCTCCCACTGGCGCTGTCGTTCCCCTGGAACCTTATCTGATAAGCGTGCCTTCTTCATTCAAAACTCCGCCGTTGCCGTGCCTAAGCCCGGATGAGAATGGAGAAGGGTTGGAAACCATGGTGAAGGCTCTGTATAACTTTAATACTTACCCCTAATGGTATTGCCGCCATCGAACATTACATCTGCTTGGTCGTCGCCCGGGTTGTCAAGGGCCGCGCACGTTCTTAAGGGACTGAGGGAGATTGCAGAAGTCGGCTATCAGAACCACTACACCGCTTTGTGCCAGTCGGGGAAGTAGCAGCACAAACACAGCTTCCGAAGATCGACAAAACGACGACTAAGGTAGCAATCAGCAATGGAGTCGCCACCCGTTCTTAACGTAGGAGACAAACGTCGTGATGCCATTACATCACACAAGAAAAGGCACCACAAGAACGACACCGTCCGTGGGAGCTTATAGTCAGAAATTGGATCATATCCTCACTAA